CTCAAAGATGGGTCAAGTTTTCAAAGCAAAGGGCAGTGATCTGATTTCAGTCTATGAAGATGGAATACATTCGCATGAGGGAATTTCAACTTCCATTCCATGTTGGCTAAAACTCGGTCAAGCCGTTCCAATAGATTACCTTTTTTCCATGTGAAAGGGTTTCCTTGAAAACCCATATCCACCAAATTACAATCATATACCATCTCCCTAAAAGAGAGATCCCCCCTGTACGAGGCCAACTGAGAGCCCCCTTGTCTTTCATAGTCATGGATCACAGCATTAAAGTCTCCCATGATACTCCATGAACCAACCATGTTAGCTACTAGCTTCCGTAGCTCCCTCCAAAGGTCAATTCTGAATTGAGAATGGGGACTTCCATACACTGATGTGAACATCCAGGCCTGTGAATTGTTTTTAACAGCAAGATGAACCAAATGTCTTGATGATGCCAGCACTTCAATCTCCTAGAGAAATGAATCCCATAAGATCCATAAACCTCCTGAATGCCCAATAGAATCCACAATGTAAGATCTATCCAATCTATTCCGATTGATTATCTTTCGGGCCTTAGTCACTCATGATGAGGGCTGAGATTAGGGAGGAAGTAAGGACCACTATATCAAGGTTTCAAAGTGGTCTTAACCTTGAGATAAGAGACAAAGCTAAACTTTTGCCTTATAGAGATTTGAATGAACTTGTTCAACTTTGTTCGAGAGTAGAGCATCAACTTAAGAGGAAATCTTTTCGAAAAGACACCACTCCCTCTTATGCCAAGAGTTTTAAGTAGGAAGGCCACTTTTCCCAACCTTATCCCAAAGAAGAAAAAGAAAAAGAAAAAGAAAAAGAAAAGGATAAAGATAAAGAAAAATCATCTTTCAAAGCACCTTCCAAAGAATCTAAGTCAAGTGAAATCAAGTGCTTCAAGTGTCTTGGAAGAGGACATATTGCTTCTCAATGTCCTACAAAGAAAACTATGATTTTGAAAGTCCAAGATCACTATAGTAGCCTTGATGAAGCTACCTCATCTTCCTCTAGTAGTGAAGATGAAGCCATAGATTCTGAGGAAGAAATCTTACCTTGTGAAGGAGACTTATTATTGGTTAGAAGGCTCCTTAGCAATTAGTCTAGTGAAATTGACCAATCTCAAAAAGAGAACTTGTTTCACACAAGATGCAAGGTTTTAGAAAACACTTGTTCTCTCATTGTAGATAGTGGGTCTACTTCCAATTGTTGTAGTACTAGATTGGTTGATAAGTCAGCCTCGACTACAAAACCTCATCCTAAACCTTATAAAATGCAATGGATCAATGAGGAAAGAGGTATTATGGTTAATCAACAAGAAAGCATAATCTCCATTGGCAAATATAAAGAAGAAGTTTTGTGTGACATAGTGCCATTGGAGGCTAGTCATGTCTTGCTTGGGAGGCCATGGCAATTTGACAAGAAAACAATCCATTATGGCCTCACAAATAAAATAAGTTTCCAACACTTAGGTAAGAAATTTATGTGGTGTCCTCTATCACCTTCCCAAGTGAATGAGGACCAACTCAAATTGAAAGCCAAGAAAGACGAAGAAGAGAAAAGCAAAAACAAAAACAAAAAGAAAAGAGAAAAAAAAGAGTTTTTCCTTTGGAGAGAAGAAAGGGCTAGGTTCAAGAGAACCTTAATCCTTGTGCCATCCTCATTCTTTTGGTGCCAAAGAAAGATGGAAATGGAGGATGAGCACCAATTATGAAAAGCCATCATTAAATAAAGTATAGGCACCCAATCCCTAAGTTAGATGATTTGATGGATGAATTGCATGGGGACATTAAATTTTTCAAAATTTGCTTATGTGCATGGTTGATGATGCCTTTTGGCTTCCCCAATGCCCCTAACACTTTCATTCATCTAATAAATCATGTACTTAAGGATTATGTAAGTAATTTTTAGTAGTTTATTTCCCTAATTGTGGTCTCACATCTTTTGAAGGGACTAGTGGAATGGATGAGCTTAAAGATTTGAGGTCAAATCATTCTCAAGAAGGAGGGAATGATGGAGGACCATCCTTCGAGCTTCATGTGGGACCCATCACTAGGTTCATGGCTAGGAGATTGGAAGAGGATAGGGGAGCTAACACCCCTAGAGACATGCTTCTTGTGGTTAAAGGATATTGATCAAACTCCTAAGCCTTGTTACCATAGAATTTATCTTTTATGCCTATTTTACCCTTGTCTTTAACTTTCCATTTTTATCCTTGTATTATGGGGTGCCTTAGATTATAGGATTTTATTTTTGGACTAGGGTATTTTATTAAGGTAAGAAAATAGGACTAGACGTATTTTTTGGTAGTCTTGAAATTATTTTTGGACTTGGTAAGGTTTAGGCCCAAGTGGAGGGCACCTAGGTTGCATGGTCTTATCATGCACCTAGATGTAGCTTAACCAAACCCAAAGATTCCATCCTTGGCCACCAAGTAGCATCTAGGGTTAATTTAGGTTTCATTTGAAGTGCATTTGACTTTCATTTTTTAGTCATGCACTCTCAAATGCAACCCTAAATTCAACCTCCCTTCTATAAATACCCTAGGCTAGCATCCTTGTAAATACTTTGGGAATTTATAATATTAAGTGAGCCTTGAGCCTTAATATTTTCCTTAGTCACTCTTGGATAATATTTGGCCAAACCCTACCTATCTTCACCTTGAGAGAAACCTTAGAAGTGGCCTACATCATCCATAGAGTGAGCTAAACCCAAGAGTGCCTTTTCAAGCCTTTCATCAAACACCTTCTAGCCAATCTCCATTTTCATCCTTTCCTCCATCAAAGACGTCAATCTTGAAGAACTTGATTTCTTCACATTGGTCATCATCTCTCCAGCAATGCTAGTAAGGATGCCATCATTTATTTTTCAGATTTGAGATTTCTTGCTAAAGAAGTTTCTCTCATTTTCTCTCAACTCTCTTATCTTCTCTGTCACGAATTTCTCTCTAGTTTGGTTGAGTCTCTTCATCTTCTCTCTGAACAAACTTGTGCATGGATAATGATGGAGATGCACGACTAAGTTCTCTTAATTGATTCAAGTATGTGGTAAAATCCTCTCAAATCTGAATTCCTCTCATCTTTTTTGTTCTTCAATTAATTTTGATTAATTGAAGAATATAATTAATTTAAATTAATTTTATAACACCAAATTGGATTCAATTCGGATTGGATTAATACCAAACAAAATTATCTTCGTAGGGTTTTCATAGAGGACGATTGGGTTCTTCGTTCTTTAATTTGAATTAAATATTAAATGTTAGAATTCTAATTATATATTTTTTATATACTTCTATAATCAAAACTTGAATCGATGTTTTATCCTATTGGATTCTCAAATTCGTTGTTCTTGACTTTAATTTTCAGTTTATAATTTTTGCACATAAAGTGTTGATAAAAATCCACTAACTAACTTGCAAGTCAAGATTTGTGTTCAATGGTTTGTGATTCTAGATTTTGAGCTAGGCTTCCTATATTACAAAATTCTTAGGGGAAATTAGTTTTATTTGATAATGTTCGGCATCGTTATCACCCATATGGAGGATCATAAGACAAGGTGATGTTATAGTCATTAAGGCTAAGGATCAATATACTCAAGAAGATTACAACATCCTATAGAAAAACACCAAGGTATACTATATCATTGCATGCTCATTGTCTTGAACTAAGTACAACAAGTTCTGTAGCTACTCTACTACTAAGGAAATGTGGGATGCCATCAGGGTAACTCATGAAGGCACTAAAGACATGACGCTTAGAAGAGTAGTTACTCTTTAGAGGCACTATGAGTTATTCTCCATGAAGGAGAATGAAACCATTGATGAGATTTTTGGCCACTTCCAAACAATTATCAGTGGGTTAAAATCCATTGGAATTGAGTTTTCAAAAGCTCAAAACAATATGAAGATCTCGGACAACCTATCCAAGATCTGGGAGCTTAAAGCCACAACAATCACTAAAGCCTGAGATCCGAAGACCTTGATGCTTGATGAACTTCTTGGATCTCTACTACTTCATGAAGTTCACCTCAACAATAGGGAACATAGAAAAGTAAACAATATTGTTGCTTTGAAAAGTTGTTAACCCAACAAGAAGAAGAAACACAACAAAACTCTCAAATTTGAGTTTTAGACAAAAGTTCAAACGAGAGCTTTGAGAACTTTATAGATGATGAGATCTTTCTCATGTCTAAAATGTTCATGTAAAACTCAAAGAAATTGAGGTGAAAATTGTGTGTTCTCTGTTGGAGAATTTTTTATTAAATAATAAGATTCCAAAATGATTTCTAGCCTTGAAGTTTGCTAAAAAAATGTTAACCTACAACTGGGCTAATTAATATAATTACATAATTACAGCTATACAATCATGTAAGATATGTTGTTTTAAAGGGTCAGCAAATCAACAAAAATAATGTCAAATAATCTGTCATCAATTCTATTAACATTGTTGAGCTTAGGGGAGCCTGAACTTGATGAGATCAAGAGTATCTCTGAAGCTTAAGAGAGTTTTGATGATCACAAAATGTGTGTCAAGGACAACAACAAACAACAACAACTTAGAAGACAAAAACAAAGTCAAAGAAAGTGTTATGTAATAGGGATTAGTATGTACATTGTGTTGAATGAGTTTATTTGTTGTGTGTGCTATGTGCATAAGCTAAATCTATATCTAAACTGATTAGAAAGTGTATGATGATGAGTTAAAGGGACTAAAAAGTTATTTTGAGACTTAAAACGAAGTTTTGAAAACTAACTCAAAATAATCGATTATCATTAAATATAATCGATTATTCCAGCAACAGGCAAAATGGGATGCCTTGCTGCAATAATCGATTATTTGCAAAATAATCGATTATCCCAGAAATAACTCTCTGGAATAATCGATTATCCAGCAAAATAATCGATTATATTGTTCTTGGTTGGTTTCCAGAAAACCTGAAGAACAAAATAATCGATTATTCTTTAAAATAATCGATTATCTGAACCCTTGACGCGCGAACGGCGACCGGCGACACGGGCCGGCGTTGGCAAACCTCCCCGGACGAACGAAGATGAGGTGAACATGTTTTTTTCTGTTTTTTTATTTTTTTTATTTTCATAACTCTGGTCCATATTCCACTAACCAATCAAATTTCTCTTTTCAGTGCTAAGCACCGTGCCTTGTAGAAGTAATGCAGAAATTTTTTTAAGAATAAGCAACACAGTAAACATCTCCCATTGGAGGTGGTCTTACTTTGCTCGTGCTGAGTCCATTTTATTTCATGCCAATCAGTTCTTCAGGGTCTTAAAAAAAAATAAAAATCCTCGGGGAACTGGCAACAATTGCTTCAACAATTTTTAATTTAATGTTGAAACCGAAAGTATGTGGAAATATTTTTAAGTCTTTGGAGGCATCTTTCAGTTTAATTCAACATAACCATGCTTCAGTAAGTCGTTCTATAGCGATTCAAGGTAAGTCCTTATTCCTTCTGCCTCCTTGCTCTTACTTGTTACTCTCTCCTTCCCTAAACTCCCCTTTTCTTTTCCCTCTTTGTTTCTGTTTTTCAGTATAAAGTTTGTACCTTTGGATGCATTGGATTGTTTTGGATATGGAGAAGAGTATATACACTTTTCTTACTGTGCACCGTTGGGAGTCACTGAACTTTATGAAATATAGGTTGGCTTCCCTTAGGCCTGTCCATGGAAGGTTGGCTTTGAGATTTCTCAATTGGGTCATAAAGCAACCCAATTTGGAGCTCAATAATGCTACTTATATAATATGCACTACTACCCACATACTTGTTAGAGCTAGAATGTACAGTTTTGCCAAAACAACTTTGAAGCATTTGTTGCAACTGCCCATTGGATTGAACTCTGTTTTTATTGAACTCTGTTTTTAGTGCCTTGATGGAGACTTACCGCATTTGCAACTCAAACCCGGCTGTTTTTGACCTCCTGATTAGGGTTTGTTTGAGGGACAGGATGGTTGGAGATGCTGTGCAGACTTTCTACTTGATGGGGTTCCGGGGACTGAAGCCGTCTGTATATACGTGTAACATGGTATTAGGTTCCCTTGTGAAGGAGCAGAAAGTTGAGCTGTTTTGGTCTTTTTTCAAAGGAATGCTTGCCAAGGGGATTTGTCCTAATGTTGCTACATTCAACATGATGTTAAATGCTTTGTGTGAACAAGGGAAGTTTAAAAATGCTGGCATTCTCTTGAGGAAAATGGAAGAAAGTGGTGTTTATCCAACGACGGTCACTTACAATACTTTGCTTAATTGGTATTGCAAGAAAGGAAGGTACAAAACAGCGTCTGAGCTGATTGAATGCATGGCATCTAAGGGAATTGCGGCAGATGTTTGTACATATAATGTGTTGATAGATAATTTGTGCAGGGAAATCAGGAGTGCAAAAGGTTATTTATTGTTGAAAAGGATGAGAAGGAATATGGTGTATCCTAATGAGGTAACTTATAATACTCTTATTAATGGGTTTGTTAAGGAGGGGAAGATTGAAGTTGCTGCAAAAGTTTTTGAAGAGATGTCATTATTTAATTTGTTACCCAACAATATCACTTACAATACTTTGATTGCTGGGCATTGTTGTACAGGAAACATTGGGGAGGCATTGAGACTAATGGATGTTATGGTATCATATGGTTTGAAACCTAATGAAGTGACATATGGGGCTCTTTTAAATGGGTTATCCAAGCATTCTGAGTTTGGACTGGTTTCCAGAATTCTTGAGAGAATGAGAATGGATGGGGTGAGAGTTGGCCATATTATTTATACAGGAATGATTGATGGGTTGTGTAAGAATGGAATGCTTGAAGAAGCTGTGAAGTTGCTAGATGATATGTTAAAAGTTTCTGTGAATCCTGATGTTGTTACATTTTCAGTGCTCATAAATGGATTTTTCAAGGTGGGGAAGATAAATAATGCGAAGGAGATTATGTGTAAGATGTATAAGACTGGACTTGTGCCAAATAGCATTTTGTATTCAACTTTAATCTACAATTATTGCAAAATGGGATACTTAAAAGAGGCATTAAATGCTTATGCAATTATGAATCGTAGTGGTCATGTGGCTGGTCACTTTACATGTAATGTGTTGGTTGCCACTTTCTGTAGATGCAGGAGACTTGAAGAGGCCAAGTATGTTATGGATCACATGAGCCGGATGGGTCTTGATCCAAATTCTGTTACTTTTGATTGCATTATAAATAGTTATGGAAATTTTGGTGATGCACTCAAAGCATTTTCTATGTTTGATAAAATGAAAAGTTCAGGCCACTTCCCAAGTCAATTCACGAATGGGGGTCTATTGAAAGGACTTTGCATCAGTGGACATATTAATGAAGCCCGGAGATTTTTGTATAGACTTCGAAGCATTCCTAATGTTGTTGACAATGTTATCTTTAACACAATACGCACTTATACATGTAGATTGGGAAATTTATGTGATGCAGTTATTAATGAGATGGTCACAAATGATTTTCTGCCTGACAATTTTACATACACTAATCTTATTGCGGGGCTATGCAAGAAGGGTAAAATAGTTGCTGCACTCCTTTTGTCAGCGAAGGCCATTGGGAACAGCCCGTTCTCCCTCCGGAACGGCCCATTCTCCCTCTGGAAAGGCCCGTTCTCCTTCCTAGAACGGCCCGTTCTCCTTGCCGGAACGGCCCGTTCTCAACTACAATATGTAGTTCAATTCAGTAGTGTGGAACGGCCCGTTCCAGTTTGGGAACGGCCCGTTCTGGCTACCGAATCAGCCTTTTTTTTTTTTTACAATGTTACAAGTTCCACTAACGTGGGTTTCTTAGAGACAAAGCAAACCCACCTTGTGTTCAATAATTAAATCATTAATTAGATTCACAAATCCTTTTCCTCCCGTCCCCCTACAGTTCCAACTCAATATATTCATAAGGAAAGGTTTGAGGGTTGAGATCTTGATATCCCGGAAGTGTCTTTGTCTTCACCGACCTGCATATCTTGTCCTTGGCAATTCCTAAAGGCATTTCCTGGGTCAAAATGATGTCTTAATTTTGCTGCAAATTCCATTGTTTGTGTATCCGGTTGTACCACGTGTTTAGATAAGTCATCCCCTATTCGCCACACATCATGATTCATTTCGGATGCATATCTAAAACCAGCCATCACCTTTTCCGTGTTATGGGCTTCGCGTTTTGCATGGGAAGCCCATGCAGAATTGGCTTCGTGCACTTCATGCGGCCTAGAAGAGTCCTCCTTGTTTATCAGATTTTTGCCTTCGTGATCTTTATTACTAATGGCCTGACCATTCTTGAAATTTGAAGCCTCTCGTTTTTTTGGTTGTTGTGGATTCTTTCCACCCTTCATATTCCTTATTGTAGTGACTCTTTTATTGGGAACAGATTGGTCCTTCTCAACATTGATATTTTGAATGTTAAACTCTTTATGTTGTGGCAATCTAGATCCAGATAACATCAAATTATTTCTAGACAAAATATTTGATATTGGCAGATTTTCCTCCTTATTTTTTTCAGCTCTCGTCAATTGCGCATTTCTCGGTCGTTGCTGTTTTCTATTTCTCCTCACAATCATCCAGGGGCCATATTGATCTGTTGAATCTTGGATTTCTGGAGAGGGAATATCCTCTGCACCATTCTATTGCACCGAATCAGAGTTCTGCAATGGTTCATCGTTCTTCGTAGGATCTTCAGCTACCATGTTGATAGGAACGCCATCGACCTCCATGTGGTTCTTCCCTTGTTTCTCCCCCATGGCTTGGCTTATGTGGACCTGGTTTGACACACACCGAGATTGCTTATGTCCATACCTTCCGCACTTGAAACAGATTGAGTGAAGTCCCTCGTATTCTAGTTTGAGGATATACCCTAAAACATCGATTTGGGATACAAGTTTCTTCTGTAGGTCAATCTCTACACAAATTCTTTCAAACTTCCCACGTGATTGTATCGACGTCAATTTGTCAATCTTCAGCATTGTACCAAGTTTATTACCCACCCTCCAGAGGAACCTATCATTGAATAACTCAATGAGCCCGGGTATTCGAATCCATGTAGCTATCTTACGAGTTTGTTTAGCTGTAACCATGAAGAAAGGCTTCCATCTTTGCACCACGATGTAGTGATCCACTATTAGCCACGGGCCTTCAAATAAGGCATGTTTGTAGTCCTCTTCAGAAGTGAATTACACCAAATAATGATCCTCAGACATATCAATCAACCTGACCACTCCGGTTCTAGCCCATTCGCGTTGCACTTTATTATCTAACATTCGGAACGCAACCCTCTTCCCCAAAACATGAATTTCAAGAGAATTTTTCCAAGGTGCACACCATTCTTCAAATTCTTCTTGAGTAACATGGATCTTGGGACAAGGATCCAACTCGATTCATCTCTAACAACCTCCTTCTCATGGTAGACCGCATCTTCAGGGTTCTCCATCTCTTTAATCAGGCTATTGAAATTAGTAAATATCTTCCCTCCATCAGAGGAGAGAAGGCTCTCCTTATAGGATTTGGACTGGTTACAGAGAACAGCGTTTGTATCATCATCCTTCATGCCTCCCTCCAAAACCACGCCCTCCATACACACCCACTCTTTAGTTTTCACCTTTTTCATACTCCGTAGGGAAGGTTCGTCATCAGGAGAACCTTCCTCCTCCAAAACCCTAACAGAGCCCATCGATTTTTGCACGAATGTTACTCTTTAGTTAATCTGTGTTTCTATATTTTATTTGATAAAAATATTTAAAAATTATTAATATTTGTTTTAAATATGTATAACTTTGATTCCCATTAAAAATATATTATAAGTTATAATTTTTATTTGTATATTAAAAGTATTATTTATCTAATTGCTTAAGTGATTTTTTTTGCCAGTTCATCTAGTAACACATTAATATTGTTATACTGCATCGTCATCGTTTTTAACAACACATTATTCCTATTATTAGCTAAAAAGTTATTTCAACATCTTTTTTTTTCTATCATTATTATTAAAATTAATATATCTTTGGTAAATATTATTAAAATTAATATATATATATATATTAAAAAATAATCTTTAAAAATAACTTTATTTCATAATTTAAATTATTCAAAATATATTTAATATAAATTTCAATTACAATATAATTTATATATTTTTAAAAATATTATAAATTTTTATTATATAAAAGTAAATATTATCCTAAATATACTTTTTTTTTTAAATTATGAAAAAAGTGGATAAAAGTAAAGGTACTGTAAAACACAACACCTAGTACTTTAGAGCATCTATAATGAGAGTTGCTTATAAGCAACTCCCAACCACTTTAAATGAGTCTCACTGTGCCACGTCACTCATAAGCAACTCATACTATATTTTTACAACTTTTGCTCCAATAAAAATTGTTTATAAGCACCTCAACTTTTTTACAACTCATACTACACTTTTTGACACCTCATATTATATTTTATAATAAATTTTTATAAAATTAATTATTATGAATAATATATAAATGTGAATAACTAATAATTAAAACAAATTACATAATTAAAAAATTTCAATAATAAAAAATATTATATAATAAAAAATATATCAAAAATTTTAATAATAATAAAAATTACATAATAAAAAAATACCAAAAATTTCACTCTCCCTTCACTCTCTATTCACTCTCTCTTCTCCGTTCAAAAGCCCACCACGGCCCAACGTGGACCCGCAATCGCACCCCGCGCTCAGGTTCTCCAACATTCCCAAATCGAAACCGCGGCCGGTAACCGCCATCCCCGAAAACGTCAAAATCAGAGACGACGGCCTCTCCTACCTCATTGACGGTGCCCCGTTCGAGTTCAAGTACAGCTACACAGAAACCCCCAAAGCCAAACCGATCAAAATTCGCGAAGCTCCGTTCGTGCCGTTCGGACCCACCACCACGTCGCGGCTGTGGACGGGGCGGGCGCCGCTGCCGCCCAGCAAGAAGAAGCTGAAGGAGTTCGACTCGTTCGTGCTTTCGCCGCCGCAGAAGAAGGGGGTTAAGCCGGTTCAGTCGCCGGGGTAGTTTTTGTCGGGGTCATGCTGAGTCCATTTTATTTCATGCCAATCAGTTCTTCAGGGTCTTAAAAAAAATTCCTCGGGGAACTGGCAATAATTGCTTCAACAATTTTTAATTTAATGTTGAAACCGAAAGTATGTGGAAATATTTTTAAGTCTCTAGAGGCATCTTTCAGTTTAATTCAACATAACCATGCTTCAGTAATTCGTTCTATAGCGATTCAAGGTAAGTCCTTATTCCTCAAAGACATGATCAGGCATGGTTTTGTGCCAGATAAGATTTCATGGCACGCTCTTATTCTTGGGTATTGCGAGTCCAAGTCATTTGATGTTGCTGTCAAAATTTTAAGATGGATAACACTGGAAGGTTTTGTAACTGATTGTTTTACATTTAACATGGTTATTACCAAGTTCTGTGAAAGGAATGAAATGAAAAAGGCCTTTGATCTGGTAAAACAAATGAATCAGTTTGCGGTTATTCCTAATGTAGATACCTACAATGCCCTTTTTAATGGTCTCATTAGAACTGGTGCTTTAGATAAAGCCCACTATGTTTTGCAAGCCTTGTTGGAAAGTGGTTCTGTTCCTACAAATAAGCAATACATCACTTTAATCAATGGCATGTGTAGAGTGGGAAACATAAAAGGAGCATTGAAACTGCAAGATGAAATGAAAACGCTTGGTGTCTGCCCCCACAATATTGCTATGAGTGCTATTGTTAGAGGGCTTGCACATTCAAGGAAGATTGAACATGCTATTTGGGTTCTTGATTTGATGCTTGAGATGCAAATCATTCCAACTGTTGCTACTTTCACTACTTTAATGCACATTTATTGCAAAGAAGCTAATGTTGCAAAAGCTTTAGAATTAAGGAGAATAATGGAACATTGTCATGTGAAGCTTGATGTTGTTGCATATAGTGTTCTTATATCTGGCCTTTGTGCTAATGGTGATATTGAAGCTGCTTTTAAACTTTATGAAGAAATGAAACAAAGAGATCTATGGCCTAATACCTCTTTATATTTAGTTCTTATTGATTCTTTCTGTGTTGGAAATTATCATATTGAAAGTGAAAAACTTTTGAGGGATTTACAAGCCAGGGAACTGGTTTCTTTAAATTTGTTTGGAGGCGCCAAAAGATTGAATGAGTTATTGATAATTGCTAGAAAAGAATTAATTCGCTTGAGGTACAAAATGAGTAGAAAGTTTGGTTGATTGCATTATGCTTTTTCTTTCTCCAGAATGTGATTTGTTAGACGAGGCTCAGCCAACAGTTCTTCTTTTAAATGGGTTATCCAAGCATTCTGAGTTTGGACTGGTTTCCAGAATTCTTGAGAGAATGAGAATGGATGGGGTGAGAGTTGGCCATATTATTTATACAGGAATGATTGATGGGTTGTGTAAGAATGGAATGCTTGAAGAAGCTGTGAAGTTGCTGGATGATATGTTAAAAGTTTCTGTGAATCCTGATGTTGTTACATTTTCAGTGCTCATAAATGGATTTTTCAAGGTGGGGAAGATAAATAATGTGAAGGAGATTATGTGTAAGATGTATAAGACTGGACTTGTGCCAAATAGCATTTTGTATTCAACTTTAATCTACAATTATTGCAAAATGGGATACTTAAAAGAGGCATTAAATGCTTATGCAATTATGAATCGTAGTGGTCATGTGGCTGATCACTTTACATGTAATGTGTTGGTTGCCACTTTCTGTAGATGCAGGAGACTTGAAGAGGCCAAGTATGTTATGGATCACATGAGCCGGATGGGTCTTGATCCAAATTCTGTTACTTTTGATTGCATTATAAATAGTTATGGAAATTTTGGTGATGCACTCAAAGCATTTTCTATGTTTGATAAAATGAAAAGTTCAGGCCACTTCCCAAGTCAATTCACGAATGGGGGTCTATTGAAAGGACTTTGCATCAGTGGACATATTAATGAAGCCCGGAGATTTTTGTATAGACTTCGAAGCATTCCTAATGTTGTTGACAATGTTATCTTTAACACAATACGCACTTATACATGTAGATTGGGAAATTTATGTGATGCAGTTATTAATGAGATGGTCACAAATGATTTTCTGCCTGACAATTTTACATACACTAATCTTATTGCGGGGCTATGCAAGAAGGGTAAAATAGTTGCTGCACTCCTTTTGTCAGCGAAGGCCATTGAAAAAGGATTATTATCTCCAAATTTTGCCATGTACACTAGTTTAGTTGATGGTCTTCTCAAGAATGGACATTCAAGAGCAGCTTTTTATATTTTTGAAGAAATGCTGAACAAAGGTGTGGACCCTGTTACTGTAGCATTCAATGTGTTTATAGATCAATACTCTAGGAAAGGGAAAATTTTGAAGGTCAATGACATTCTTTCAACAATGAAGAGTAGAAATTTAAGCTTTAATTTGGCTACTTACAACATCCTGTTACATGGATATGCAAAGAGGCATGCCATGGCAAGATGTTTTATGCTGTTCAAAGACATGATCAGGCATGGTTTTGTGCCAGATAAGATTTCATGGCACGCTCTTATTCTTGGGTATTGCGAGTCCAAGTCATTTGATGTTGCTGTCAAATTTTAAGATGGATAACATTGGAAGGTTTTGATGGAGTCTCTCCTTCTATGGTTGATGATGGTGTGT